ACTGATTAGCTGATTGGGTTCTGCAAAATCTCTTAACCTCAACCTCATCATGGGAGTGAAATCGTTTACACTCACAACGCTGCACGCTGACCGGGAGGGGCTTCTAGCGGAGGACAAACAGAAATCAGGGCCATCTTGGAATCTGCCTTCCATGATAGGATGCATTTGCCGACCTCATACCTCTATTTCCTACTTCCATTCCAGGTCCTGTGGTCTCGGTGGTGGCTTTTCGATTATCGTCTCGTTCAAATCCAAGCGAAGAAATCTCCCACTGAAAGCTCCAGAGAAAATCCTAGGCTTGACTCCTATTGGCCCCAAATGGATCACGTGCCTATGCCTAGCCAATCATTGGTCAGAACACAGAATGCGCTGATTGGCTCAAATCTAGAGCAAGCCGTAGAAGCTAGAGCACAGGGGCTCCAGGACTGAAAATAGGTTAGAGACCATTTCCCCGGAGAAAAGTAGAGAGCTGCTATAAAAACTGGGCAAATGGGTGCTGGGAACACTCCTCTCCAACCCCCACCCCCTGCCAAATACAAATATCTCCATCACATGCACACTCTCCTGGACAGACTACCTTATTTCTAGGAAAATGCAATTTTTACCTACACGTTTCCAACACTGTTCTTGATTTCCTAACTCATTTTTTATTGCAACTTTAGCTGAAAAACATATTTACCTACATGTTCCTGCATATGGACATCCTATGCTTAAACACCCTATGCTTAAAATTATACAGGCTAGTAAGAAGGGAAAACACACAACAGAGAGAAGAGGAAATGCCCGCATCCCTGGGGGCTCTGCAGTCCACTGGGCAGGGCTTCTGCTTGTCCCTCCCCTACAGGCTCCCATGCTTCAGCTCTGAGCCTCCCAGCGCTGATGTCAAGGGTGGGAATCAAAATACTGTACCTAACCACAGGCCCTCATCCATCAGCCCCAGGCCAGACCTTGCCCTGCCTGGCTCCTCACACAGCAGCGTGTGGCCAACAGTCCGGCCACATCAGCACTTCCAAGGAGTTCTCCCAGAGGCCTCTGCTTGGAGACTGGTTCACTGTGTGCACAGCAGCGCTGGCAGCCACAGGCCTCTGGCCAGCAGAGCCCAGCCTCATTACAGGGCTCCGGGAGGCCCCTGAGTGCTTTGTACATAAACTCATTAGTAACTCATGACAACTCTAGGAGGGAGAGGCTATTGTCACTGTCCCCATTTGGCAGGAGAGTTTGAGGGACAGGGGCCCGTGGTACTATACAGCTGGTGAGCAGACTAAAACTGGATTTGTCTCTAAACACCAGGGTGCAAATTACTCTGTTGTATCACCTCTTCTGTTTAGATGTCACAAACAGGATATTCATTCATTTAACAAATATCTATGGAGTACTGACTGTGTGCTAGACAAAGTTCCAGTCACTGACAGATACAGCCTCTGCCCTCCTACAGCTAGTGCCTGGTGGGATATAGAGAGGGGGAGATAGAGACTGCAAACACAAAATAAAAACAGAATCTCAAAGAGTAACATATTATAGGAAGATATAAAATAGGGAAGAACAGTAGTGATTAGGACACATCTTTCAGTAAAACACACAGGGGGAACACTCCAGGAGATGATAGTGGAGCTAAAACCTAAAGTATGACAAACAGCTGGTGGAGGAAAACCTGGAGAAAGAGTATTTTAGGGAATGGATCCAGCAAGTGCAAAGGCCCTGAGGTAGGAAAGAACTTGAGGAACAAAGAGAAGGATACCACTGTGACTCTTAATCTGAGTGAGCTTGGAAGTGGTTATGGAATTACCATTAATGTCCTCAGATGTGATATTGATGGGCAGGTCATCTGGGAGACCAACATGTTCTAAGAAGATGTCCACTGAGGCCAAGGGCTGCAATCTTCTTTTAAATGGCTCAGCAACATACAATGCACACATGGCAAAGCATTAACTGTGCCTTTTGGGTGCAGAGACACGTCCCCACTGTACTCCTCTTTCAACTTTTCAACTTGAAATTTTCATAATAAAACGGGAAGCAAGAAAGCAGGAAGAGAGTGATGTGGCCGGAGGGGCAGGGTCATGTCATCTCAGGATTGTGCTCAGGAATTCAGATTTCCATCTAAGAGGAGGGGATGGGAAGCCTGGAAGTGGCATCACCTGGTTTGCTTTAAGGGCATCAGCCCAACTGCTCTGAATTTTCCTAGTCCCTGGCAGGGTCTCTCGGGGCCCAGGACAGCAGGTTTCCCACTGTGATTTAAGGAACACTCACTGTGCACTTTCCACACACCAGGCTCTCGGCACGTGTGTATGTCACCTTCATTCATGTCGCTAACGCACATGACAACCTGCAGCATCTCTGATCGTATCCTCGCTCTTAAATGAGGAAACTGAGGCCGGGGGGAGGTCAGCTGAGGAGGCTCCACCAGCACTGACAGAGCCCTGTTAGGCCTCTGCACTGGACCAGCACCGGGTCACCGTCCCATGTTTACTAACTCACCGACATTGCTAATCATAACCGATGAACTATAATCAGAGCTAAGAGGTTTTTGCAACGTGATTATAAAACTAGCCATCCTGTGCCAGCGAGAACCCTAAATTGAACTGCACCAGCGGTCAAATGGATCCTGATTTTCCCTTTAATGAAAGAAAGACCCATAAGCACTGCTTTGTCCACAGAGACCTGCAGCGCGGCCACCAGGAGCCACGTGGCTCTCTGATGTCCCACCGCATGTGCCCTGGCACCGCTGTGTGCAGTGATGTTATTACCTTCCCAACGACCTGGAGTTCATATGTTGACGCCTTCTTGTAGTTTGTCCAGGAGAACTATTGGCATGTCGTTAAGCAACCACACGAATTGCCACTGTTAGCTGGAGTCTTTGAGCAGTGTCTTCACTGGAGATGGGCCCACTGTCTTTTCCAGGGAGGAATTCAGAATCAACATCATTGCTCTTTGAGATCTTGAATAAGCAGCCCCCAGGAGACTGCAATTACAGGCGTTTCTAATTCTCCCTCCCCAGCTAACCCCTGATTCATAAATGTGCACTTTTAGGTGCCAGGCGTTAGAATAAATTAGACTATACAATTACGTGTAATTAAAGGGGAAAATAGCACGCTACCGAGATTAGCTAGGTTTTGCTGAAGTACAGCATGTCTGTGGCGTGTGGTGGCCCAGGAAGGCGGCATGAAATACAATTAGTGTTCTTCTGATTTAATGGGGGCCTATGGAGCTGTTTTTCATTATCACAATATCGTAAGACACGTAAACAGTTTTTCTTCAATGCATTTCTACTGTCAAGACAGGGTGGGTCCCACTGAAAATTCCACAGAATTAGCCACGCATTTATATTGTTATGGATGAAACTGGAATTGGTATTTTAAAACCCATGCAAAATCGTCTCCAACTCAGGAGCTGAGAAGTTTGATCCCAACCCCCTGAGACCGACTGCAGGCTCCCCTGTTCTCGGACAAGTGAGTTGCAGCCAGACTTGCTTGCATTATTAAAGCCACCTGTGCCCCAGCGCGGCCACTTGCTTGCCTGGACCCTTCTGTGGCCAGGTTCCTACTTTGAATGTTTCTCCTTTCCACACCAATTTGTTTGAGACATGTTAAAAGGTTGCTTTTACAACCATCGTAAAACCCCCATCTTCTCCAGCCTAGACCCAGCCAGAAGGGCCGGGGACAATCAGATTGAGTTTCACCCTCTGGAGGAAAAGCCGAAGCACACAGCACGCACGATGGTTCTCATTGTTGTGTGTGAGCCAAGGAAATCCCAGGGCGACTCCGGCTCAGCGCGGCCTGTGGGACCAGCAGGTGTCCTGCACAGCCGGCCACAGAGGAGCTCACAGAAGAGAAAAACAGGCAAGGAGGTTTCAGGAGAAAGGTCCCCCGAGGTTAAACCAACAATGGGGGACAATTGGGGTTGCCCGAGGAGCTTGAAAGGCCCCATTGGAGTCTCCAGCCAGGACCATTGCAGGGACAGATGTCGTCTGGGACTCAAGGGAGACAAGAAGAGAAAGCCTGTCCCAGACAGCAGGGACACAGGCCTCAGGGACTGGGGACTCCGAGGCTCCGGAGATCCTGCTGAGTGACTCCTTAGGCTGGTGGACTGGGCCCTGAACCTCCGCCTACCTCAGGCAGACACTGAGCCCTGAATGGGCCAGCGACTCCCACCTGTGTGAAGGGAACTGGAGAACCATGGGGTTTGCTGGGTGTTACAGGAAGTGGCAGGGTGCCCCTTGCAGATGTTCCAACCCCACGTGTCCCCGTGTGGGACACAGGGCACACATAACCCTGGCCTGCAGCGAACACACACACGCACATACCCAGACATCGACAAGCCAGATCCGTCCCCTTCTCCCTATGGGAGAATCAGGGGCAAAATACAGCCATCACCACTTCGTTCTTTCAACAGCAGCGATGGAGAGGAGGATACACATCTAAAAGATAATCGAGTGACTCCATCTCAGCTCTGCACACAGCCCCCCCTTGCTGAGGTCTCCTTCCGAGGAGAGCAAAGGACAGGGGAGGAACTTGTGGGCAGGGCCCAGCTGGGGAAAGAAGAGCCTGTTCTTGAGATCTGAAAAGCCACATGTGGCGACACAGTGGTGTTTGAACTTTTCAGAGGTGGAAATCCTCCCAGCCCAGAAACATTCTCCAGAACCTAACATAAAAAGCAGGCTGCAGACCTCCCCTAGGCCTCCTTCCCTTCCACCCCAAATGCCCACAGGGCTCTGAGGACCAATGAGAACAGTACTGCTGCAGGGGGACCACCTCCCCCAAGCAGGCCCCAATTCCAGCGAGGTGAAGGCCCACGTGCCATCTCTGCCTGCAGGGAAGATCTTTAGCCCTTGGAGAATCCATTTTCCTGAAAAATGGCTCAGAGAAGAGCATGAGATGACCCGGTAGAAGCACTGCCCCTCGCCCCACAGGACCAGCTGCAGCTGGGCTGTCCTGTACGAGAACCAAGCCACATGCAACTGGTCCAGATGGAGAGGTATTTTAAGAAGAAATACACACCACCTGTCAAGATTAAGAGATTGTGCCAATAATTTTTATATTGAATATATTCTGCAGAGATGACACCTGGCGTATGTTGGTTAGGCTGTTATTAAACCAATTCCACCTGTTCCTCTTTACCTTCTAATGGCCAATGCTAGACAGTTATCAATTAGACCCATGGCCTGCAGCGTACATCTATGGTACAGCAAGCAACACACTGGGTCTGACCTCCCTTCTGAGAGCACAAAAGGGCAGGAACCCCAATATTTTGTGGGAGAAACAGCAAACATGACATTGTACTGCAGAATCAGCCAGCACCATGGGGCCCCAAGTGAGCTTGAGGATTTTTCCGGTTTATTTAAACTCTCGATTAATCTGGGATGTCTAAGGAAGACTAAAAGGCCTCAAGCACCCCACACCTAGTCAAGACATTCAATTTGAACTTCAGATTTAAAAACAAAGACTTTCAGTCTAATCGTATCCTCATACACATCTTGAATTTTTATTAACCTGACAACTCTAGGCACAATTAAGAGTAACAAGGACCTAGGACCAGTAATAGGGAACCTTTAGAAATTTCAGTGGTAACGAACAGCCCACGGCAGCACCCGTGCCATAGATTTGCCACCATTGGCTAAGGTTTGAGTATTGCACATAGCTTGGCTTCCGGAGTTCAAATCCAGATCCATCACTAGTCACCGTGTGACCTTCAGCCAGTGACTTAACTACTCTGTGACCTGGTTTCCATATCTGTATAATGGGCACAATGCCGAGATGTGTTACTACTGCCCACCAGTGCTTTTCTCCATTAGGACTTGTCTACCTTTAGCAGCTAGCTGCATTTCCTGCGGCCACTGGTTGGTTATCTGCTGGCTCTGGGCCCACCCCTTCCAGCTCCATCCCCCTGGGCCTCGGCTGTGGTGCCACAGTGGAAACCACGGCAGACAGCACCACCTGGAGTCCAATTTCCCCCTTTTGGAGGGAGCCGGTTTCTGCTTTCTTTCCTGTTCTCTGGCCATTTCTGAGCGACGCCGCTGTTCTCACTTGAGCTCAAGTTGACTTCTGGGAGAGCTTCCAGGCTCGTGGGAAGGTCCCGGGTGCGTGGGCAGCTCTCCTCGCGGTCTCGCTTGGGGCTGGCCAGGTGCTGGCGTCTCCAAAGACAAACCTGTGTAGATACCGGAGAGCACAGGGCGTTCAGAGCAGGCAGTCGGGTGTTCGCAGACCAGGGTGAGCCCCTGTGAAAGCAGATAAAAGAAAACATTTATTAAGGTGTCATTACGAGGGGAGCGCCCGGCTGGGGCTCTCGCACGTCCAAGAAGCATTTGGCTCCTTCCAGCTCCAGGGCAGGAGGAAAAGAGCCAAAAGGAGGCCAGGATTTTTTTCGTCCCCGGCCAAGTGGACCTGATCGATGGTCCTCCCGACTTTATTGCGATATTTGATTTATTAAGGATGCCCCCCTCCTCTGTGTGGGGCGCGCACGCACACTCACACACAGACACACACACGCGCGCACACACGGCTCTGGCTCGCGTCCCTCCCTCGTTTCCAGCTCCTGGGCGAATCCCACATCTGTTTCAACTCTCGCCGAGGGCGAGCGGGAGCGAGTGTGTGTCGGTGAGTGTGCGTCTGTGTCCCGGCGAGGGTGCGCGCTTGGCGGCGGGAGCGCGGCCAGGCAGCCCACGGGGCCGGAGGCTGCGGAGGGAGGCCACAGCGCGGGACCCCGCTCACCGCGCGCTGCCCCGTCCGGGCCGGACTTCGGGGCCAGGCAGTGCGCCGAGCCCGCGGGGCCGGCCGAGGTACAGCGCTCGCTCGCCGGGAACGCGGGAGGCCGCCGCAGCTCCCGGGTCCCCGCCGCTCCGGCCAGGCCCCCCGGCCCGAGGCCGGCGGTGGACGCTCGGGGCCGGAGCAGCGGGCGGGAGCCGGGCGCGCGGTGCCAAGGGCGGCGGGGCTGGGCGCCCGGGGAGCGCCGGGCGGGGCGCGGAGACGGACTTGGCGAGGGCGGCGCGCCGGGCGGGCGAGCGGGCGGGGGTCGGGGGCGGGCAGAGCGGGAGGGAGGCGCGGCGGCGGCGCTCGCCCGGGATGCGGCCGTGGCGGTGGCGGTGGTGGCGGCTGCAGCGGCGCGGACTCCCCTGCGCCCCGCGGCCCGGCCGGGCTGCAGCAGAGGCGGCGGCGCCCTGCGCCGGGTGAGGCCGCCAGGGTGCGCGCGGTGAGTGGGGCGCGGCGGTGGGGCGCGGGGCGCCGGCAGCCCGAGCCTCACCTGCTTGAGCTCGGCCGCCCAGGTGAGCCCGCGCCGGTCCCGACCGCCCGGCTCCGGCTCCGGCTCCGGCCCCGGCCCCGGGAGCTGGGCGGGGAGGTGGGACGGGCCGGGAGGCGCCGGCGCCGGCTGGCAGCAGGGGGTGACCCGCTTGACCCCGCTGGCGGGCGAGGACTTCCCGCCGCGCCCCAGACCTGGGGGGAGCGCCCCCCTCGGCCGGCCGGCCGCTGAGGCGCGGCCTGCGTGACCCCTCTGGGGTCAGACCTGGAGGATCAGCTAGGAGCCAGCCCACGTGGGGCTTGTCCGGGCAGGACGCGGGCAGGCTGTGGACCGGATCTCAGAGTGAGAACTCAAAGAGGGAGCGAAAGGACAAATAGGATTGGAAAGGCAAACTTCCTTCCTGTCCAGGTCAGAAGCAGCTTCTTCGCCCTGCGGAGATGCTCTCTTCCCCGGGCTTCGGGGTTGGAGAAGTCGGGCGGTGAAGCTGCGGCGATTCCTGGGGTGCACTTTCTCTTTTCTTTAAGCCTGCCGCGTAGTAGTTCATTCATTCGTTCTACCCGCATTTGTGGAGCGCCCTCGTGCCGCCTCCACGTTGAGTTCCAGGAAAACGCTGAGAAGCCTTGTCGGCTCCCTGCGTCCAAAGAGCTGGATCATTGGAGGGTGGCTGGGTGGAGAGAGGTCTCGGGTGGAAGAGTAGTGAGAAAGCCTGGTTTTGCAGAGTGGCCCCCGGCCACATTGCCTCCCTTCCCGGCCCCTGAGGACCCCTGCCCTGCACACAGTAGGCCTCAGCACGCAGTCACACAGTAGGAAGGGCAGCACAGACCTTCGTGGTGCGCAGCCCCCCCCCCCCTTCTTAGAAGTTGTGATTCATCCGCCCCGATTCTGGACAGCCTTTCCTGCAGCTTGTTTTAATCACTTTTGGAGTTAAAAGTCAATATTTAATTAACCAAGTAATTACATTCGGCTTACGTTTGAATCTGGGTATGTGCTCATCTGTGCGTGTTGGGACACCCGCCTTCCCCCTCCATCTGTCCCCTGCCTCTTTCCCACGGTGCTCCCCCAGCCTGCTCTGGAGCCAGATTTCTGGGGGTGACCAGGCAGGTGAGACCGTTTTCCCAGAGGGACGCCCCAGAGTCTGTGCGTGGTGTAGTTAATGGTGAGGGGGACGCCTTTCTGCGACCCCACCTCCCCCTTGCTCAAGGGGGGAGGGGTGTAATTAAATCAAGCCATTCATTAAAGATCAAAGGGGGTGGGTGATGCACTGCAGACCGGTCCCCTTTGAGAAAGGTCGCCCCAGCCTTGTTTGTCCCTGTCCTAGAGGAAAGCTCAGGACAGCTGCCCCGTGTGATTTAATGTTGGAATAGGAGGCAGCTCGGGCTGATGGTGCCGGCTTGACCAATCCACGGTGGACCCTTGCACTGCAGGCCCGACCTCGAAGCCCAGTTTGTGTGCAGGGCAGGGCTCTGGCACCGCTGTGGGTCAGTGTGGCTTTGGGCTTCACACTCTGTGTATACTCCTTGGGTTTTTTATTTGAATTTATGGCTTTTTGTGAAACCCTAATAACATGTTAAGTTATTGAACTGAAGGGTTGAAGGGTGAGCTGCCTGCAGGGATCCTGGGCTTGGAGGAAGCCTAGCTGTGTGTGGCTGAGTGTGCGCATGTGTCTGTGGGTGCATGTGACCCCACCCCAAAGCTCAGTCAGCTGCCACCCCAAAGACCCGGGGATGGGTCTTGGCCCCGACGTTTTAAGCCCCATTTTGGATTTGGGATTGTGAGTCCCTCCTTGTCTCCTGCCTTGGTGGCTGTCCCTACTCACCCCTGGGAGGGTGAGTGCGTGGGTGGGACGACCTGTGGTCTCCTGGGTCAGCCAGGTAGGAGCGTTGCCCAGTTTGTCAGTATTGTTTTTAGACTTCGCCCCTTGAGCCCAGCAGTCCTGTGTTGCCAAAGTGTATCAGCATTTCTGAGCAGCTTGGAGTTAAAAGGTTGAGTCTAGAACCAATAGGTAACTTAGGAACTATCATAGGGCCCAAAAGCATACAAAGCCACTATACATAATAACCCTTGAATCCACGCAAATACCCCGAGTCAGGCTAACAGTTGTCATGTTAAAAATGAGGAAACTGAGGCACAGAGGGACTTGTGACTTGTCAACAGTGGCCCATGGGAGAGCCCTTGGGCTCCTCTCAGTCTTGGCCTTTTGTCCAAATAGAGGAAGAACACAGGCTAAACCAGGAACACACAGAGAGGCGGGGATTTAGCTCAGCAGCACAGCACCTGCTGGCAAGCACAAGGTCCTGAGTTTGATTCCCAGTACCTAAAGAAAAACACGTCCAGAACAACATTGGAAAGTAGAAAACGGTCAATATTTCTTCACCTCTCCCAAACCGTCTCCATTTGGGGAAGCTTAAGTTTGCCTTTTAGGGTTTTCTGCCTGCAGGAAACTATACCTTTGCCTTCTGTCTGTGTCTGCACCCTCCCTCTCCAGTCACTGTGCAAAGGGAACTGGCAAATGTGACATCTGAGGTTTTAGCCCTTTGAAAGAACCATGGTCAGAGGCTGGGCATTCTCCCAGAGTGAGAGACCCTCTCAGTTGTGGAGTTGTCCCGCCATCATCTGAGATGTGGGACACTTGATGTCAGCCCTGGGCGCTGTGTGTGGCTGTGTGGTGGTGGCTGTGGGTTGGGGGGGATGATGCCACCCCTCAACCCGCGCCCCAGTGAGGACACCCTCCCCGGGGCCTGCCTCCCCAAAGGAGCCTTGTGACAGACCCTGGGAGGAATCTGCAGATGCCCCATCCAGCCGGATTCAAGGCGCTATCTAATTGGGAGATCATTAAGATCATTATAATTAATTGGCATCCTGATAAATGGTGTGATTGCCTAATTGGGGCGGTTGCTAGGGAACTGGGCCTCGCTTGGAGCTTACAGGGGAAGAGGCACTGAGCTGGCCACAGTTGGCGTTAGGGTTACAGACCCGGCCGGGAGCGGGCAGGAGGCCAAGGCGCCTCACCGCCTGGGCTGGGCTCCCTGAGCAGCTGCCGTGTATGAGTAGCAAATGGAACATCGGTTAGGAGCCTTTTCCTAGAAGGACTGTAGAGTGATCAGTTTCCTTTCTCTTGCAACCCACAGAAGTGGGGGAAAAACCCTCAAACCAGCTTAAGCAGAAGGGGTCCCTGTCGGCCTCCATAACCGGACATGCTTAGCACGGCTCTCGCATTAAGCGCAGACGGACTTGGGGCTCAGATCTGGTCACCAGGGTCCATTCGCCGCCACCTCTGCTCTGCCTCAATGGCTCTGGCTTTCTTCCCAGCTCTGAGGCCACTGGCACTGGCAGCCGTGGGCACAGTGGCGAGGACAGCCGAGCTACCTGGCCACCTGCCCAGTGGTGGTGAGGGGGCTGTGACTCAACCTCTCTGTGCCCCCGGTCCTCACTGACAAACGGTGGTGACCCTAGCACCTGTCCCGCCTGAGCACCGCGTCTGGCTGTTATCGGAACAGAGGCAGGAGACCCGCCACCTCCGGTCTGCAGGGAAGAAGCACAAGCTTCTTTGGGGGAACGCCCACCTGAGCCCTGGGATCCCCTCCAGCTGGGTGTTCTGTTCTCAGTGCACACAGTCAACTCACAGTGGACCCCTAATCCTGCTGTGGACAGGGACACTGACCACTAGGACCCAAAAGCCGGGGAGAACTGGGAAGCAAGTAGCCATGCTAACGTGAGCGGTGGTGGTCACAGGGACCTGTCTGCACTGGAGCTGAGCTGAGGACCTCGGGAACATCACGGCCACCCTCTTGCCCAGGGCAGCAGGTGTCTCAGGACTTAGCTTCACAGAAGCAGCCTGGCCCAGGTCCTGCACTTTCTGGGGGCTCGATTGCCCATGAAAATCAACTCGAAGTGCTTATTTACACCATGAAATCCAGACCCAGGCAGGGAGAGGGCATCCATGTGGGTTTCAGAGGCACAGACTGGGGGAGGAGTCCCTGGAGCCTGAGGCTGAGGACCCGCCTGGCTGACAAGGTCACCCCAGCTCGTGCCTGCACACTCGGGCTCTGTGATGTCTGCCAAGGGCCAGGCCCTGGGTTAGAACAGGAACCAGCAATAGAGGACCCTGCACTTCCCGGGGCCAAGAGGCTGGTACGGATGGACGAAGCAAATGAGCCCACGGCAGGGCTGTTTCTGAAAACCAAAAGCATCTCAAGGGAACAAAATAGGGATGGGTAAAAGCTGCCTGAGGGGTTGAGATGGGGGCGACTTCAGGCAGGTGGGCTGCAGAAGCCTCTCTGAGATGGTGACCTGTGAGCTGTGGCCTGCATTTCAGGAAGCAGCTGGCCTTGAGACGAGCTGAAAAGGTATGGGAATAGCTAGTGCAAAGGCCCTAAGGCAGCAAAGAGGGGGTCCATCCAAGTCCCTTGTTCCAGACATAAATAGAAGTCCAGAGGTAACATGCTGATACTGTTGGAAATGACCTGGGGAACCATTGGTGGCTTTAAGGTAGGGCATGGCATGATTGGTGTCTCAGAGGTCTCGATGGCTGCTGTAAAGTGTAAAGTATGCATGGCACCTGGGGGTCAAGGGCAGTCTGGTGGGAGCCAAGGGGGCCTGGAGGGTGGCATCATGGAGCTGCAGTGCATATATGCCCTGGACATTATTTGCGGAAGGTGCCCTCGGTATGTCCTGGTGCGCTGACCGCTCAGAGTGAGGGAAAGGGCAGCAGGTGTCAGGTGCTGGGGGACAGGCAGCAGGGGAGGCATTTTGATGGTCAACCCTGCAGTTGCTGCCACACATCCAGATTGTCAAGGCACTGGGCAGCTGGTGGCCCAGCACAAGGAGACCCCTTGGTGAGGCTGGGATAGGCCCAGGGAAGGAGTAATGTGGACCTCAGCGCCCTTTGTGTGAGCCGAAGCTCCTAGGGCGGCGGATCCCCGAATCAGCAGTCACCCTTAACTTGGGAGCCCTTGCACGCTCAGATTTTTCAGGCCGTGGGGCCTGATGTGCTGATCCAGGAAGAGAATCCTGCATGCAAGGTGTGCACCCTGCCTGTTGTGGGTGCATTCAAGGAATGTTTAACCCCCATCCTCCCACCCCGGCCCCTGAGCCGTGAGCCCTCCTCCCGCTCCCGCTCAGCACAGAGAATGAAGCAGGG